GCTCATAAGACTATTGCATTACACAGAATAGATTCTTTCTTTTTTAAGCCTCCCCTCATGCAAGTAGGTTATGAATGTTTAGCATCTTTGCTCACTTAACTTCATGAAGTAATACTGGAAATTTTCGTTGAATGGCAGCAATATTAATAAAAAAAAATTAAATGTACCTCAGCCATTTATCACAAATAGTCACTTCAAATAATAACATACAACTCTTAAAAATTTATAACAGCAGCATATGTAAGCATTTATTTTGTTTGCTTTGTATACCCACGTAATTTTCAAATCTGTTTTTTTCTTATGAAATTTTTATCCCAAGAGTTAGCAAAATCACAAATTGAAAACGTCTCACGAAATGTGTTTGTAAGGTTTTAAACGTAGTTTTTTAAAGATTTCATATTTCAGAAATGTTGCTTATTCATTTTGCAAGCAATCATATAAGTCTTGTGACTAAAACGTCCTTATCAAATTTTCACCATTTTCCTTTCGTACGATAAATTAAAATTTGGTCTTTGTGGCTTTCTTAATCGCAAGGCTAAAATATATTTGCGTTCATACTTTAGTGCTGAAGGTTTGCTTTAAAAAACGGGTTATTGGTTCCGATATGTAAATCTTTCAGTCGCAATGATAGAATCATCTAGCTTACTACATATGTGCCCCTTTTTCATTACTTATTTAAATTTGCTTAGTGATTAAGATGTATGGTTTTAGTTTTAATTAAAAATGCTTCTTATTAGTTACATTGTTCCTTTATTTTTATCTTGGAAATCAGATTTCTTAATTCAAGCGTATTGAAATTAAATTAGTCAGCTCTTACAAATAGAAGGGATATATAAATGTTTACCCTGATTAAAAAACATTACTCACGGTTTCATGATTGTGCACGGATAATGAAACATGCATAAACTCTCAGAGTTTATAATCATATTGAAAATATTTAGTAAACTTCCACAAGTGCACCCCTGGTAGCAGGCAAAATATCCAACAAGTACTCAATTTCACACTTCTTCAAAATCCTTGTGTTTATTACGTGAATGGCATCCGTAATGCTCTGTCGCAAGGTCACAATATCAGGAACTGCTGTGTTAAAGACAGACAGTGTGCAGTGTGGTACACACTGTCTTTAATATATCCCCAAAGAAAGAAATGTAGTGGAATTATATCAAAAGAAGCGTATGGCATGAAACTTAGTACTCTATGGATATTTTGCGTGCTACCAGAGTTGCACTTGTGGAAGTTTATTAATTGGTTACATGATTATAAACTTTGAGAGTTTATGCATTGAAGGCTCAATGCATGTTTCGTTGTTTATGCACAGTTATGAGTTACCCTGCTTTGTAATCAAGGTGAACATTTATGGGCATCCTGTATATCAGGTCGTACTGATATTCTGTCAGGTTATGAGAATGCACATGTATGTTGTCCCTCTGTTACTAAGGGAGGCAAGATATCTGCAAGAATGAGTAAGTTATTTTGAGTTTTATAAAACTAATGGACTATTAACGGCTAATAAATGCGTTATTTATTGCTTACGTATTTGTAAGTTCAATTAGTAAGTCTAAATTAAACATGCAAATACGAAATATGTGATGCAATAATTAAAATCTAGCCGGCTAGTTGCAAACATAAGTAGTGTTGTTTAAGCGTACACTGTCCTTTAGTGCTGACTTAGAAGATGTGTGTCTGTGTGACTAGTCTTGCCTCTCTGAAATCAGAGAAAGCTTACGAAATTCATCGTGGCAACGAGTCAAGATTGTCCCTCTCGTTGGCAAGGGCCTTAAGCACCATACAGTTGACAGTACGATGTTGCTCAGCCCCCCCCCAATTTTAAAGGAGTGCATCCCGATTAAAAGTTATGCATACTGAGATATGCCAGTAACTGAGTTCTTTTAAGTTCAGGCTTTCAGAAACAAAAAATTTATCGGTTTTCGCTATCGTTAAAATTCTAGTAATATACCAAATTACTGATAAACCAATATATTGCTGGAAAGTTTTAAAAGCTGTGTGAGAGGCATTTTATGCTACATATTTAAAATTTCAGTTACTGAACTAAAGAAATCCAGTGTTTATTTTTACCGAAGCTTTTCTTAAGTAACTATTAGATTTTATAAAAGCTTCTCTCTTCTTTTCGTAATTGCAAATGCATTTTAGTAAGTCTGTTTCAGCAAAAGATTTTGTGATATTTTATCATGAACGTATTACAGTTTCTTTCTTTTGTAAATTTTAAATTTGCATCGAAGCTGTAATTTACATATTTTGTTTTTCATTTCCTGCTTCGAGATATCATTAAAATGTACAAAAGCGTTTGAGCGAAATCTTCTTTAAAGAATTTTCTACAAACTGCAAATTTTTTTGAGAAACGGGCGTTTGCATCTTGCTACAAGATTAAAGTTTTGAAAGTTCATCAAAAGCAAAATATGATAGGACATTTTAACCTTACTTGGTAAATAACTCATTTAATAGTTTGATTTAGATCGGATTGGTAATGAAATACCAATCCGATCTAAACTACTTGGTAAATCCGACTTACTAATCTTACTTGGTAAATAGTAACTCATTTTTGAAATAAGTTCCGAATTCGCCATCTTTGTAACCATTTACTTATGTAAGTTATGTATCTTAAGCTCAGTAAGTAGCTAGAGCATTTTAATCTCGATAACCATAAAATTTTCTTATTATAATTGGTAATACCATCTGCTGGGATCACGCTACCGGTGCTTCAATAGCTGTTTTGCCAGTGAAGATACACTATTTAAGTAGTTCCACTGTTACAGTTATATGCTGCTATCGTTTCTTTAAAATTCCGCTGCCTGAAGAAATGGCGATATAGTACATCAAATGCATGGAATCTACGACGAATAATTTAGCTATTTGAAGAAATGAGGTTATTGGAAGTTTGAACTGGGAAGGGAATCAAGTTGCTACTCCCATTATGGATATGCCATACAACCAAGGCACGATATATATTCCTTTCGAAACTATATGTAATATACTACATTTAAGTCTGCTTAAGGTGATCGGACGTAAGACTTGTGCCCATGATATTGATATATGCCTATGATGTAAGTCGAATGCCATTCAGTTTATAACCTTCGCTGAAGTGGATTATTTTGTTAACAGATGAAGGTCACTCTCATCTAAACGTAGTTGTGACTACTGTGGTATGTAGTTGTGACTAGTTTCTGGTATGAGTTACTTAAATATCTCGCATGCAAATGGATAAATTCCTTTCTTTTTTTCCCAAAGTTATGGACGGGTGAGGGTTATCGTAAGACTTTGATTATTTTGCCATTCTACTTTCAGGTCAATAGCCTGTTTATTGCTGAGGGTTACCACGATATGCAACTATGCATAGATTCAATCATTTTCGTAGAAAATGGTACTCTTCCATATCTTAGGAAATCTCTTCAAGAGAATTTTCTAGAACATCTTGCAAAAGCCAGAATTATCAGCTGTTCCATTCAGCTAATTTTTCATTTAAGACTAATTTGGTTTTTCTCTGTCACTTCTAGCTCTTATAGTTTGTCAGAAACAGGAATACTATATACTGCGCAATAAGACTGTAACAGTCGCTAGTAAAAACATTCCATAGTCATTATCACAATACAAAGGATGCAGTTTATGTCTTTCCAGCAGAGTTTGCTCTATGAACAACTAAGCCGGTGAAAAATAAAAAGTGTATTTTCCATGCTTATGAATGTGGTCTCTTTACACCATATTTTGCATACTGAAAAATTACTACAGTCAATACATCATGCAATTATACGTTAAGTTAGTGTATTTTGGATTTAGTTATTCCAGGAATGCATTTTAGTGAAATTATGCAATATGTAGGCCTTCTTCTAAATCTTAAAAGATGGATATTTTTATTTATGATTCATGTTGGTTATGTTTCCAGTCTTTTATTAACCTTTTATTTAATACCTCCAAAGATTTCATTAAATTTCACAATCTGTTAAATTCTAAGACATTATAAATCAGTTGCTGAAAAAGAGCTTCTTTGAAGGATGAATTTCATTCTAAGAATTCTATGCTTTTCCTCCCTTGTGGCTCTTGATATGTTTTCTAATTCTGGTTTTAATTGTTTCAATTAGTGCAGTTCTTTTCATTAGTAACACATTTTTCTGTGCTACCTTTCGGTATCTTTTGGAAATATTTTTTCTGCTAGAATGTTCACGATACTGGGCCGTGCTACATACTGTGTTATTCGATCTGATGGAGGCTCGTTATTAATGAATGTAACCTAAAGATTATTGTCTTCTGTTCAGCAGAGCTGTACTGAAACCGTTTCGAGATTTGTGTAAACGTAACATAATTTTGTGTTACCTATAGTACTTTCTTGAAGTTATGCATTGGTCATTTTCAGTTCTTTACCCGGTATATTAATGGGCTGGCTGCATGAGGTTTTTTGTAGTTTCTTAATTTGCAATCTATATTAGAGCTAGCTTCCCTTTCAAAGTTACCCGTCAGTGGCCAGTAGCTAAACGGGAACAGGTAGTTCGTTTTGAGTTCTATTCACGGCGAATAGGCTAATTGCAGGAATTTTTCGTTTCCGCCCACTCCCGATATCTAGTGTGAATTAAAGCCAATTTCTTTTGAAAGGCTGTCACCAAAGTATCCCCTTCTTTTGATAGATGAGCCTGCAAGGCTTTTCCTTAATTGAAAACAACCAACGACATAGTTAGAAATACCCCCCATGAAGACATATCTTGTCATAAGCTCTATGCGTTTTCGTAATCAAGTAATCTCATCGAATTAAAAAGAAATACTATATTCGTCTACTAATCTCCTTTTCTCAACCGAATAGCTCAACTGTAACAATATCGTTTGATGCTTTATCTTGAAAATCGTATCACGAAAGGAACTGGTTTTGAATTGTTTTCTATTTTTGAATCATTTCCGCTTGTAGGAGAATAAGTTGAGTGGCGTCGCTTTACTTCCTTCCTGTAGATGTGCAGAATTTGGTTAGTTCCTCACAGGATGTAGCGAACCGCATTAAGCTACGAATTTTTTCTCAGATACAGAAATTTTACTTTCAACAGTCTAGTTGATTTGGGAACTGTAAATTAGGTATGCATTGAGCACCATGAGAAAAATCAAATCTTATTAGTGGTTTAGAATCCGTGTATATTAGAACTAGCGACGCAGAAATGTGTGTCTATCATAGCATTTGTATTAAGAAGAAAATTTCTTAAAGAATGGCATTCGTCTTCGCATATATTAACGGAATGGATGATCAGAGCAAGAATTTTCGGCAGCAAAGATGTGAAACTACTTCTGTCTGTGTTGATGCAGGAAATTTTATTTTATTGTAAATAAAATTTTCATGAAGCTCTAAACGAATGCAGTTCATCGCAGGGTTTACGGATTAAAATCATTGTACCTAATAAGCGAAGTACTAGCAATAACTCAATTGTGCATAGTTTTTATACGAATGGTATAAGCTTGGGTAATGACTTGCTTAAGGTGATACATCTCTCGGTTAAAAGTTGTATATTTTTTTATTTACATCTGCAGATTTTTACATATGTAAATTTGTGCAAAATCAAGAAAGCAGAAGAAATTGCATATGTCAGACTAAAAACAAGCAGCATTTTATTGATTTCAATGCATAATACGGCATTCTGTCAGCCGATGTGATTTATTTTCGTTGCAATTCCCTTAACGAATAGCTAATGCATGAAAGTAGAAAGCTTTTGCGCTCTGTTGGAAATGTGGTTTATACGAAAGCGGCAAAGTAAGTGAAAAAGCTCTCCTCTTAATGATATTTAACATACATTTTTTACAGTGACAAACTTAATGCAGTCCTACGAAATTTAGTGCCCATTCAAACATTAGATAATAAATAACAAATATTTTACTTTGCATTATATTTCACCACACCAACAAATACTTTATGTGGTCAGTCATTTAATTCAACACAATTTCCTTTACTTTATTAATTTATAAAAACACATTTATATCAGACCCTTTTCAGAAATTTCTCTTAGTCCGAATAGTGAAAGATTGCATATATATATTAAGCTTTTAAAAAATTGAATTCTTCTTATCAAAAATATTATGTTATCCTGGAGAATGTAAATTGTAATATGTAGAAGTATTGTAATTAGAAAATATTTAATAAGTAAGTAAAAAGTAATTAAGATTAAGCAATTTAAAGTACAAAGAATTTTCCATAAATTTTTAAAGTACTTTTTTAAAGAAATGAAAGTAACTTTTCCAAAATAATCTGCTACAAACTACAATTAATTACTCGGAAAAATCCCTTTAATTTAAATTACTTAATCACTTTTTATTTGCTTAATAAATACTTTCAGTTACAATAGTTCTTTACGTTTTCTAGGACAGTATAATCACTTTTGTTTTTACAAGAGAAAAATTATATTTTTAAAAAGTTAAATTTTCAATCTAAGCTGCTCATGCTAGAGTTTATTATTTAAGGCCTTAAATTTGATTACTTTATTATATATTTATTTAGTAGATAATTTAAACAATATTCATTACTTACTTATAAGCACTTCATTCTTCTTTCTTCTCAGCAAAATTTTTAATCTGACAATCAGAATCTTATGTTTTGCTTTTGAAGTTATATAAATATCTATACCATGAATTTTATATTTTTCTCATCACGTTAGTTTAAGCTTCCAAGGTACAAATTTTAATTGTTAAATAAGGATAATGTGTTCATTAAAAAAAAATAAAGTACTTACTTTTTTTATCGTAAGTTGGCACACATTATCAACATATCAAAAGCAAACACACTTTAGCATTTTAAAAAGGAAATTTTATTTTTTAAATAAGGATTATATGATACATAAAAAAAGCACTTACATTTTGTATCGTAAATCGGCAAACGTTTTCAAAGTATCAAAAGAAAATATACTTTAGCAATTTGAAATACAAATTTTAATTCTTAAATAAGGATTATATGAGTGATTAAAAAAATAAAGTACTTACTTTTTTATCTTTAATCGGCAAACATAAACAACATATAAAAAACACACTTTAACATTTTTAAATGAAAAGTTAACTTATTAAATTAACATTTTGTATCGTAAATCGGCAAACGTTTTCAAAGCATCAAGAGAAAATATACTTTAGCAATTTGAAATACAAATTTTAATTCTTAAATAAGGATTATATGATTGATTAAAAAAAATAAAGCACTTACTTTTTTATCTTTAATCGGCAAACATAAACGACATATAAAAAACAAACTTTAACATTTTTTAAATGAAAAGTTCACTTATTAAATTATGATTATATGATATATAAAGAAGCATTTCTTATAGTAAATCTGCAAACATTATCAACTTAGCAAGAGAAAACTTATTTTAACCTGAAATATAAGTTTTAATTGTTAAGTAAGGAGTATATGATACATTAAAAGAATAAAGCCCTAGCTTTATTTATCGTAAGTCGGCAAACATTATCATCATATCCTAAACATATCCATCATATCCACGAACAGTTGCAACTTCAACATTTATTCCAACGTAATGAAAATAAAAGAGGAATTCTGTTTTCCCCGTTTAAAAACAAGTCGTTGGCAATCAAAAACAGAGACCACGTGGCCAAGAGAGGAATATCTCATAACCCCATTAATCTGAGCTATCAAAACTTAAGTTTGCCAGAAAAATATGATCTAACAATGAAACTGCCAAATTTTGTATGCACCGGATGTTTTACTCTAGACCTCTACTAAAGTAATTGCAAGTAAAGGTATTATCAGTTTACTGATCACTGTACTTACTTTGTGCAAAGAACAATTTCATGGATGCTGAAATCTGATCTTAAAGTTAACAGCTAGTACATAACTCCTACTTGCAGCCCACCAGGTGGCCTATTGGTTAAAATAACTGAACGTTAGTAATTCGATCACGCTTGGAAGCCCGGCGAAGAGGCTGGCCTAACAGATGTTTTCGTGTTTTTTTCTTCACGTGTAATATGAACACGGCTAATTTACCTTAGGAAGACCTTAACGAAAGCATCATTTACTTTAGGCATATAGTCTCGTGTTCTTTGCCATATTCAAACAATCAAACCAAACCACACTCATTTGCAAATGATGTTAAATATTGAACCGCCTGCTTATAGCCGTCAAGGAAGCAATTTCTGAAGCAATCGTCATCACTTCAAGCAAAATTCTTCAACATATAGAGGTCTGAGCACATTTTAACGTGAAGAAGTCATGGGTTCTGGTCTCAGTTAAAGACGACTTATTTTAAATTAGCGGGTTAACTAAGTTAACTATTTTTTCAGAATAAACCGAACTGTTCATCTAAAAGTACATGCCTTCTTGGAAGTATTTCTAAGGAAAAGTTTCCAATAGTGATTTTTATAATGTTGAAAAGACAAAAATGAAGCGAATACAGTCTTGAAAGCATAAAAATATCCCTACGTAAAGAAACTCAATTTTTTTTTTTTAACATTTTGAGGTTAGAAAAGATTTTTGGGTGACATTTTGAGGTTAGAAAAGATTTTTTTTTTAATCAGAGTCTTTCCAAAATGTTTGGAATGTTAGTTACGCGACTATGCATTTACCATACGTGTCACATGGTACGTGTAACCGTCGCGCAGTACTTATACCTTTGTTTTATATTCTTTGAGGCATGGAGTGCTGTTATGACAAAGATCTTTAAAATTCAAGTCCTTTAAAAACTGAGCAATTTAAAAATAGTAAACGCACTTCATAATAACGTAAATCTTTACTTTAGTAACGTAAATCTTCATAATAATGTAAATCTTCATTAAATTTTTACTATAATCTTTTTTCAATGAGACTTCAATTAATATTATTAGAAGTATATTTAATTTGTGCATTTGTTAACTATGGAGATTTGCAACTTGATTTATTTGATAAAAGAGACTTCTAACTTCATATATTACATGCCTCCGTAGAAACCAAATTGGGTTCAAAGTTAAAAATTTTATTTTTCTTCCTTTTCATTTTAAATATGTTGAAGAAAACACACTATTCAATTTAACGGCTTGAAATTTTTTGTAAATCAATTGGTAAATATTTTCTTTGAAAATTATTTGTTAGTGCAACAATTATGCAATGATGTGTCTCAGATGTTGAGAGGATATTTACCACTGTATGGTCCCGTTAACATGATAAGGATTATGTTACATTCAGCCGCTTATGAAGCTGGACAAATACTTAATTGAGTCAATAAATAAAAGTAAATAAACAGGCGTGAAAAGTGAAAACAACTTTTAGCTAGTACCCAATAGTTCATTTTAGTTTTATAAAGTTTAGGTTGGACCCAAACGAAAGTTTTGTTGAAACTACTTACTACTACTAACTTTTTGAAAACAAAAAATTACTCTAAACTTTGATATTATTTCTTTCTTTTATGGTTTCTATGGGAACAAGCAGCAGAAAACATTCTAAACATTCACTGAAATGTTTATTTTGGAACTTCTGACAATCTTCATCTCAATGCTTTTGCTATCGGAATTTCTTCTTTCAGTGAAATGAACATTTTGGATTTTTCTTCCCGCCTTTACTTTCCGTCTATACTCAGCATTTTATTTGCGGAATTTTAACAATGGATGTATTGGTTTCGGCTTTTTTGATTACGAGGGGAACGGGGCATAGATTTCTCGATTCTGGCGTTTCAGTATTGTTTCCTCAGGCGAAGCTTCGTAAATGTGATTTCCATACATGTGTAAAATATTTATCCCCAAAATGAGAAGCGTCAGCTTTTCCATTCTGTTTATACGGTAGTTTATCCGAAAAATTCAGTTTCAGTTAGGATTTACCAAGTTTATTAAGATTTTGCAAATATATAAAAATGTTACAATAATTAAGGAGTGAAAATATTTCAATTTTCCGTTGAAAAAAATTATTTTAAAAATTATTTCCAATTAAGCTATAATTTAAATACGACAACTACTTTATAAATTCTGGAAAACAAGGCAGTTTGCTTGCAAGGTTTCTACAATATTTCCCTGTATTAACGAATTTCACAGTTTCAATCTGAACCTGTATGACTCTCTAATTGGTTTTTGTGGCTTTCCATATGTATTACGTAAATACTAGCCAGTTTAACCCAGAAACCCCTTCACGAAGGCATCCCTTAGGCAGACAGCGTTCTTTGCTTTATCATATTGACCTAACCTTGCCTTTCTTGCGGTCGAGGTAAAAAAATTTGCAACAGTATATTTTTTCATCCTTTCCATTCTGCATACATCTCTATATTCAAAGAATCGATATAGGTATTTCTTTCTATGGTTTTCAATAAATTATTTACAATTGTTTAAAACATCTATTATCAGGTATCAGAAAATCAATGTGAAACAAATAGCTTAGATTATTCTATACAGCTGTTAGATCTTTTGATTTCTTATGCTTGATTTACGTCTACAATTAATACAAATGAATATTTGTTTCTGAACTACGTTTTCATCTTCTTTAGTTAAAAATGTTTTTTTTTTTTCTTTCTGACAAACCTAACTTACTATTTTATATATAAGTTTCCCCACACCGATGTCTTAGAACTTTACGCAATCTTATTATACAAAGGTTTACATTAAATCTTGTTTTAATTTGTTAATTATAAAATAACATAAACGATAAAGTAAAAGTTTTCTTAAAGAGTATGCTATTTGAAAGAATACTATCATAAATATAAATAGAATTTCATATGTAATATGTAATAGTAGTACTTTAATATTATTCATAAAAAGAAATAAATATAAAAGAAATATCGTATATGATCTAACATTTTA